AGATTAAGAAAATAAAAAAAAAAAAAAAAAAAAAGCTTTATGTATTTTTTGGAGAGGTTTTTGCTATAGGCCACGTGCATTTGCCAGGAAGACAGAAACAGAGAGACAAAAAGCGAGAAATCAGCCCCTGGGGGAATGGTCACACTGCACGCAATCCCTTCTCCTCCACTCTCCTCTTGGGATCCTGGGCACACACACACCATGCCTGGCCTGAGTTTAAGCTGCCTCGTCCAGGACTTGAACCTCAGGTCGACTACATGGGAGTCCAGTGACATAGCCATTAAACTAACTGCTGGTACCCCCAAAGAAGCTTTATTAATATTAAACATTATCCTTAATATTTATATACAAATTTATCTATACTTTTCAGAAAAGACAACAGGTAAAATCCTTTAAGTAAAAAAACCTCAAATAACCAAAAATAGAAATACTAAACATCTTAAGCTCTCAAACTTGAGCCAAAGGCTCATTCACTTATATATTCAAGAAATATATATTTACTGCACACTGTCTTTATTATACCTTTATCAAAATGCCAAGTATATATCAGTAAACAAAAGAAAATAATATAGTCTTGCTTTTGCTTTTTTCTCTCCCCTCAGTACTTACTAGCCTCTATATCAGACTGAGTTGACTTCTAAAAACATACCTTCTTGGGGCCAGCAGGTGGCGTGGTGTTTAAGGTGCTGGACTCCTACATGCCAGATAGTGATTTGAGTCCCAGATCAGGCAGCTTAAAAAGCATGCTGGGTGTGTGTGTGTGCATGCCCAAAATTCCAGGAGAATGGAAGAAAAGGGATTGTGGTGTGGCCATCTCCCCTAGAGGATGATTTCTCACTTTCCCTCTCACCGTCTCTCTCCTGCGAGTACACATGCCCCACGGTAAAACCAAAACCAAAACCAACCAACAAAAAATATTTTCTCATTAGTGTTTTGCAATCAGTATAATCTTATAAAAACAAAATAAGAAATAAAGCTTGGAAATATTGCTATGTAGTACTGTGAGGTACAGTTATATTTACTTATGTCCTTTATGTGTAATTTTGTAAAGCAGAATTTTATTTAACATAATTTTCATTAATAAGATTGAAATAAGATTACAACTGTGAAATAGCCATAAAATAAATCAAGCACAAAATTATAATTAACCAAAATTTCCTAGGCCATTTAACCAAGGTTTTTAGAAATACTTTTAATCCAACAGAATCAGCCATAGCAAGAAAAAAATGCTGAAAAGCTACTTAAAGTGTAAATCCAAGCTTACCATGAACCTATGAGTAAGATGCAAGGGTGTAGAGCCTGACTGGAATGGCTTTTGCTGGGGGGTTGGCATGGGTCCGTCATAAAATGGCCTTTGGGATGTTACAAGTGGTAAATTGTGAATGCTGCTCTCCTGATCATCTTCCTCTTCCTCTTTACGAAAGCTAGAACCAGTTTTCAACATTGTAACATCTACAATATAAGGAGTATAATTAAGAGAATCATAAATATCATGACCTGAAAAAAGAAAAACATGAAGGCATCTCATAACCTTCTCCAATCACACTTAATGATACTGACCCGCTATGAGCTTCTGTACTGTTAGAGGCAGTCACGGTACAAACCAATGGAGGGTCCATCCACTGGTGCCTGCGCACACATCAAGGCAGTGGCGCCAAACTGCATTAATACTCGTGCTGTTAAACACCACTCATTTGCAGTAAAAATACTAACTTTATTAAATCTTTACCCTTGCACAGATTTTGTTTTAAAAGTTCTGTGTGCTAAAGTGGGAAGTGTGCCTGAAATATGATGGCAGTCTTAAGGAGTATAATTAAGAGAATCATAAATATCATGACCTGAAAAAAGAAAAACATGAAGGCATCTCATAACCTTCTCCAATCACACTTAATGATACTGACCCGCTATGAGCTTCTGTACTGTTAGAGGCAGTCACGGTACAAACCAATGGAGGGTCCATCCACTGGTGCCTGCGCACACATCAAGGCAGTGGCGCCAAACTGCATTAATACTCGTGCTGTTAAACACCACTCATTTGCAGTAAAAATACTAACTTTATTAAATCTTTACCCTTGCACAGATTTTGTTTTAAAAGTTCTGTGTGCTAAAGTGGGAAGTGTGCCTGAGATATGATGGCAGTCTTGGGGGGTGGGGGGGAAACACTTGTATAATGGAGCTTTAAGCTGAACTGATTTTTCTAAGGAACGTGACTTTTACTTTAAAATGTAAACGCCAGGTAAATGTTTATACAGATTTGGGTATTGGACAAACATTTTTTCAGAAGCGAATGAAGTGAGCCCGTTTATTTTTTTTTTCCTTTTCAAGAGATTTTTGCTATAGAGTACGTGTGCTGGCCAGAGTCAGAGAGACAGAAAGAAAGAAATCACCCCTCAGGGGAGATGGCCACACCACAAACCCTTCTCTTCCATTCTCCTCCCGGGATATTGGGCATGCATGCACACACACTTGGTCTGAGTTTTTTAAATTTTTTTTTGAAAAGTTATTGCTATAGGGCACATGCACTCGCCAAAAACAGATAGAAACAGAGGGACCAGCAGTTAGCGTGATGTCTATGTCACTGGACTCCCATGTAGTTGACCGCGGTTTGAGTCCCGGACCCAGCGGCTTAAACTCAAGCTGGGCGTGTGTGCGTGTGTGCCCAAGATCCTGAGAGAATGAAGGAGAAGGGACTGTGGCATGGCCATCCCCCCGGTGGGTGATTTCTCACATTCAGTCTGTCTGTCTCTCTCTCTGGTGAGTGCATGTGCCCCATAGCAAAAACAAACAAACAAAAAAAAACAAAAACACAAAAAAACAGAGACAGAAAGTGAGAAAGCACCTCCCCAGGGAAGATGGCCATGCTGCAATCTTTTCTCCTCCATTCTCCTCTTGAGATCCTGGGCACGCATGTACATGAGCCCGGCGTGAGTTTAAGCCACCGAGTTCAGGACTAGAACCACGATCAATTATGGGAGTCCAGCAACATAGCCATCACGCCATCTGCCTGAGTTTTAAGTCAGCGGGTCTGGGACTCGAATGGAAGTAGACTACAAGGAAGTCCAGCAACATAACCAGTATGCCCTCTGCTGGTCCCCAGACTCGTTTTTAAAAAAATAATAACTAGTTGCCAATGATAAAATTTGAGCTTTGAATACAAATTAATATACTGAAAATCTTGTACTTGCCATCATGAACTTGACAATTTTGTAGTATTTAAAAACTCCTGATGAGGACAAGACTGAGTCCTAGTTCTCTTTAAGCTTGGGCAAATAACTTTCAAGGCTAACCTTCTTAAATCTCTATCATAGGATTGTGGGGCATATCACGATGTCTCTACAGTGCTAGCATACAGTAGATGCTTAATAAATGCTGGCTACTTTAAAAAAATAGCAGTTAGAATCATACAGGGGGCGGGGGAGATCACAATACCTATGATAACCTGCAATTCGCCAAAATAATAGTACTATGCTAAAAACAAAATTTCTAATGAGATAGATGATACTAATGAATAAAATTTATAATGGAATGGCGGTTATAAGTGATGTGGTAGTTAAGGGCGCTGAACTCCCACATGGTTGACCGTGGTTCAAGTCCCAGACTTGGTGGCTTGCTTTCTCACTTTTTCTCTCTCACACTCTCTCTTTGGTCAAATTAAAATAAATATATAAATAAAAGAATAAAGTTAAATTTAAAAAACTATATTGGATAATAAAATGTGTCAACATTAAGGAAGGTCTGTGAACCAGTATTTTCAAATTATTAATGCTTATGGGACCAGCAGTTAGCGTAATGGCTATGTCGCTGGACTCCCACATAGTCGACCACGGTTCGTGTCCCGGACCCAGTGGCTTAAAACTCACACTGGGCGCAGGTACGTGCGTGCCCAAGATCCCGAGAGGAGAATGGAGGAGAAGGGACTGCAGCGTGGCCATACCCCCTGGGGGGTGATTTCTCACTTTCTGTCTCTCTGTCCGTCTCTGTCTGTCTGGCAAGCGCACACGCCCTATAGCCAAAACCTCTTCAAAAAAGAAAAAGAAAAATTATTAATGCTTATGTTATGAAATCAAACATGGTTAAAAAAAAAAAATGGGACCAGCAGATGGCATAATGGTTACATCACTGGACGCCACATAGTTGACAGTGGTTCACGCCCTGGACCCAACGAATTAAAACTCATGCTGGGTGTGTGTGCATGTATGCCCAAAATCCTGAGAGGAGAATGGAGGAGAAGGGACTGTGGCATGGCCATTCTCCTAATGGGGTGATTTCTTGCTTTCTGTCTCTGTCCCTCCAGTGATCACACGTGCCCTATAACAAAAATCTCTCAAAAACCAAAAAAGAACAAAAATAAAACTCACCCAACATTCTAGTTAGACCAGTGGATTTTAAGTAGTAGAGTAAATGTTCAGTGACGTTTTCAGATTCCACATTGTTAGTAATCTTTAAGAAATTATCTCAGTCTTGGTGCAGTATTAACTATAATTATTTGAAAAGGCTTTTAAAACACTACTTCACACTTCAAACTATATATCCATGTGAGCCCAAATTGTGCTCATATATTTTAGGTGAAAAAAAAAGTATCGCAAATGATTTAATCCAGAAACAGAGAACGCAGGTGTCTTCTGTGGCAGATATTATAAAGACTGTGATGCCACTCTTACTTTTTGTTGTTTCTCACTAAAAATTGTGTTTACAAATGAATTTATTAATGTCATTTTTAAGTAAATATTTTAAAATGTTTCCAGTTTTAATTTTTTTTTAAAGAATTATTTTATTTATTTTAATGTGATTAGAAAGAGACAGAGTGAGAGAGGTGGGGAGGGGAGAGAGGGAAAGTGAGAAAGCAAGCCACCAAGTCCAGGAATCGAACCACAATTGCCCAAGTGGGAGTCCAGTGCCCTTTCCCACCACACCACCTGCTGGCCCCAGTTTTAATTTCCAACAGGGTAAATAACAACAGATCAATTCCATAAACAGGTGCTCTCTGGGGGTCCTTGAATTTTTTCTAAGTGTAAAGGGCTCCTGAGACCAAACCAGAGTCTGGTACTTTATAAAGCCTGTATTATTTAAATGCAGCACAATTAACCACAATACATTGGCATTTTACTTGATAATGTTCAAAAGTGTTATATTAGCACATCAGTTGTTGTAATAGGCACTTTGTTAGAAAGCTTTAAATTACAATCTTAATTTCTTTAATAGATATTTTGGTTTGCATTTTACGCTGACAACAGATTCAATTTGGATAAACCACATTTCAAGTACTCCATAGCCACATGCGGTTAGTGGTCACCATATTGGATAATGTAGACTTAAAGGATCTATATGATAACCCCTCTTTTATTTCTTATAATTTGTGTTTTTCTTTCTTAATCAGTCAGGATAGACATTTATCAATATTATTGATTTTTTAAAAAATAATTTTAATTTATTATTTACTTTTCTACAGTTTTTCTTGAGAGACAGAGTGAGAAAACAAGTCACCAGGTCTGGGATTCAAACTATTCAGCCATGTGACAGTCCAGTGCCTTAACCACCAACCCACCTGCTGGCCCCTTTATTGATTTTTTTTTAAAGCATCAGCTTCTCTAATTTTCCTGCTGCCAATTTCTTTATTATTTTTTTCCTTCTGCTTTCTTGGGATTTAATTTCTTCTTTTTCTACTTGACTAAAGAAGCTTAGAGAAATGATTTGACACCTTTTTTTAACATAGCATTTAATACTATAAACTTCCTTCTAAGCTGTGTTTTAATTACATTCTACAAATTTGGTAATGATTTTAAGTAACAGTCTTAATAAAAAATTGAAAATATTAGTCAACAGGGAGGATTATCACATTCCACAATGAAATTCATACCAACTGAGTTTTCATCATCTTCTAGAACGTTACTTCGTTGTCTCAAATGACCTGAAGCCAGCATGAGGTTATCATCATCTTCATCATCATTTATAATCCCCTTCGAAAGAGAGGGGATCTCGACTGCATTGTCATTGAGAAAATCACCACCATTACTTGCATCATCTTCATCAAAAAGATCATTGTAATCCTTTTCCACTCTGCTAGATGCCTTGAACAAATTAATACGAATTAAAAAGTATTAGTGAACCATGTGGAAAAAACCTAATTGCTCAAAGGTAATAATACTTCAATAAGTACTAATAAACGCTCCCCAAAAAGCAAATGCCTTGAGAGATAATAATTTGTAAATGCGTTTTTGAGAATTGCTTTTCTATTTACAAAATATGACCAGTCCCAATTTTTTTAAAAGAATTGTTTATTTAATTTTGTTTATTATTATTTTTAAAAATTTGACTGAAGAGAGAGAGAAAGGGAAAGTGAGGTAAAGCTGCCACGTTCAAGACTTAAACTGTGGTTAGTCATGCGGGAGAGTCCAGAACCTTAACTATAACACCATCTGCATTCCCCCTACCAGTCCCAATTTTAAATGCCTTGCAGTCTGGGGAGGGGGGGGTAACATGAGTGTGGAAACTGACTAGTAAACAAATACTATATATGCTAAAATATAAGGCAAGATTTTATTTCTCAGGACCACCAGTTAGCGTAATGGCTATGTTGCTGGATTCTCATGTAGTCAACCGTGGTTCAAGTCTCGAACCTGGTGGCTTAAACTCACGCCAGGCGCATGTGCATGTGTGCCCAAGATCCCAAGAGGAGAACGGAGGAGAAGGGATTGCGGGGTGACACCCCCCCCCGCCCCGGGGGTGATTTCTCATTTTCCATCTCTGTGTCTCTCTGTCTTTCTGGCGAGCGCACATGCGCTATAGCAAAAACCTCTCCAAAGGAAAAAAAAAATTATTTCTCTAAAGTCATTCCACAAAAAAGTCACCTCACACCTCACAGAAAGAGAAAGCACCTGCTTGATGGAACCTGGTCCTTCCCCCCCCCCATTCCTCCATCCTGTCAGGATCTTGTGGAAACTCTCACATGTGTTTTTCAAAACAGTAAGGGCCAGGATTCATATCCCCAGATGGCCACATGGGATCTAGCTCCCTCCACACAGTGATTAATTATTTCACTAAGACCAGCCCCTATTATTATTTTCAGTTCGATTCATTATCTGTTTAATAGCTCCCACTAACTTCTCTCATAGAAGATGAAGACTTGGTACCCTTTCACAAGCACTCTTTTCCCTAGGTATACACGTACACTATTGTCCTCCCCCAGCCCTCCCAATACCAATATAGATCAATATATTCTCATTTTGGTTCAATCGAAGTGGAGTATTTAGGTTATTATAATCAAGCAAATGCTATTCAAAGCTGAATAAAGATAATAATAGTCCACATGTATAAAATATACTAGACAGTGTTCTAACGATCCATGATTCACTTAATATTCACAATAATCTAAGTAATAGGCTCTATTCCTATCTTCTGTTTAGACCTACTATATTATAGTAGGTTCTATTCTATATATATTCTACAGTAGTGTTCCATTCTTTGTAATTTTTATTTTCTGTGGTATTAAGAATCATTTCTCTGGGAAAAATTCCTTAAAAATGATTTTTCCAATGTCCTACCTGGAAAATGACTGGCTGACAACATTCTGGGAGCCAAGCAGAAAGGAATTCCAACATTCAAGTGTCTACACTTTCATTTAATGCTGTTTTTAAGTACAGTATTCCTTCTTAACCCAATGCCACTCAGTGGTACCTAGTGTGCCAAGAGCAGGAATTCTGTTTACCTTTTCCAGAGAATAAATCAATGTTCTGTCAGACTATTTATGAGCTAGTTGTCTAGCTATGTACACTGATGCTTACTAAATCAACTCACTTATTAAATCAACTCTCCTGTTTTTAGCCCCACTTTCAGAAATACCTAGTGTTAGCAAATTTTTTTCTAGTTTTATTTATTTTTATTATTATTTTAATTTACAAGACAGAGAAAGCAAGCAAGCAAACTGCCAGGTCCAGGACTAGAGCCATGGTTGGCCATGTGGAAGTTCAGTGCCTTAACCAACATGGCCCCACCACTACCAAAATTTTTTTGACCCCACCACCACCAATTTTTTAAAAAGAATTATTTATTTATCTATTTATTACTATTATTATTATTGATTTGACCAGAGAGAGAGAACAGGAAAGTGAGAAAGCAAGCCACCAGGTCTGGGACCTGAACTGTGGTCAGCTACTGTGGAGAGCCACATGCATCAAAATGGCTGAAATGACTTTCACACGATGACCTCTGTACTTCCCGTTCTGGGAGTTAACAGTCTGCCCCTAGGCTCCCCAACCTAGCTAACATCCACATCCACATCCGCAAGCAGCTTCTCAATCAGGTCCACGACAGCAATCTGCCCCTAAGCTCCGCCCCCTGGTTAACGCTCCCTGACAAAACAATCAATTACTGGCCCAAAACATATCCTTCATTTACATATTGAGCAACAAATTACCACCCTGCTGTGTATATAAGAATGTTTTCTGACCCTCAATAAATGAGCGACTGTATACCATTCAGAGCTGTGACACTGTGTCGCTCCCGTGCCATGACGCTGTGCCGGTTCCAGGCCTCTGCTCTCTCACTCAGGTAGCCTGTTCGATTGTCCCACGGGCTAGGACAAGCCACATGGGAGTTCAGTGCCTTTAACCACCATGCCACCTACTGGTGCCCCGAAATTCTAACTCTTTGGGGATTCAGCCGGGCAAACTGAGTTGCACCTCAGTTTCTCCTCATTGCAGTCTTCAGCTACAACTTTTTGAGAAGTTAAAGTTATTTTTGAATCTTTCTTCTATTTTCCAGCCTCCAAAATGTTACTATCATTATATCAACTGTCTTTTATAATCTTATGATACTATTCTTTCTTTTTTATTTATTTTTTTTGCTATAGAGCACAAGTGCTAGCTGGAGACAGACAGAAAGAGGGAGGGAAAATAGAAAGCACCCTCCAGGATAGCCATGGCATGATCCCTTTTCCATTACCTTCTTGGGATTTTGGGCACACACATGTCCAGCATGATTTTCAAAATGCCAGGTAGAGGACTCAAACCACACAGTTGGCCATGTGGAACCAGCCATGTTAACCAACTCATGCTTTCTGAAATACTATTTCAGTATTCTAGTTTTCCATGAATTGTTAGTTATTGTTTTATAGCTAAAACTTGGAGTTAACAACAGTAACAGGTGTAACAGTTGTTAGTTTGGTCTATAAACATTTCCAGCTCTGAATTAACTCTGAGAGCTATACATACACCTCCTCTGTTTCATCAAATAGCCTTACTGAATGGCTTTAAATAGGTCACCTCATTTTATTCCTTCCTTTTGCTCATTCTTCACTCTGTATGACAAATATACCCATTCAAATTTCTTAGACTATTAGTTAAAGATTGAAGACTTGGGCTGGCCTGTGGCCTACTGATTAAGGAAGTTGAATCCTGTTTAGCTGACTGTACAGTTTGAATCCTGTCCCTAGAGGCTTGAAAAACACACCAGGCACATGTGTGTATACCCCAAATTCAAAATGCCAGGTAGAGGACTCAAACCACACAGTTGGCCATGTGGAACCAGCCATGTTAACCAACTCATGCTTTCTGAAATACTATTTCAGTATTCTAGTTTTCCATGAATTGTTAGTTATTGTTTTATAGCTAAAACTTGGAGTTAACAACAGTAACAGGTGTAACAGTTGTTAGTTTGGTCTATAAACATTTCCAGCTCTGAATTAACTCTGAGAGCTATACATACACCTCCTCTGTTTCATCAAATAGCCTTACTGAATGGCTTTAAATAGGTCACCTCATTTTATTCCTTCCTTTTGCTCATTCTTCACTCTGTATGACAAATATACCCATTCAAATTTCTTAGACTATTAGTTAAAGATTGAAGACTTGGGCTGGCCTGTGGCCTACTGATTAAGGAAGTTGAATCCTGTTTAGCTGACTGTACAGTTTGAATCCTGTCCCTAGAGGCTTGAAAAACACACCAGGCACATGTGTGTATACCCCAAATCTGGACAGGATGGAGATGGAGAAGAAAAGGGAACTTGAACATGCCACACTGCAGGGAGTGGGGTATGTGTGGGAGTGTGGTGGTGTCTCTTTCTATCTCTCCCTGATGAGCACATGTGCCCTATGGCAGTAATTAAGGGAAAAAAAAATCTAATATAGTAATACAAACTATAAATTTCTAAGTAAGTAAGGTAGTTTGTGGTGTCTTCCAAATTCATATGACCGGGAGAAACAATGAAGAAATTATTCTATAATATAGTATCGATTACCTTACTGCTTGACATCTTTCCACTGGGGTCACAAACATTCTCCAGAAGCCCTAGATTTCCTTCTGCATCAGTATAAGATATTTGACTAAGAGTAGGATGCCATGCTAGGCCACAAATTGCATAACCTTTCTCATGTTTCACCCTAAAAGTTAAAAAGTTAATTTAAAAAATACTGTTAGGAAAAATACAAAGTACACATTGCTCTTGTAAGTTTTAGTCAGAACAGGTTAAATATTTTTGACAGTCTAATAATTGTATAGTATTCTTCTGATGATCTAATCATTGCAAATTTTAAATGCTTCAAAATAAAACAGACCAAAACAATGATAGAAATGAGCAGAGACAAAAGATACACTAAATCATACCTTTCCATGCAGCCTTTGGTTTCCACATTCCAAACTATAATTAAACCATTAATACTACCTGCAGCTAAATATTGTCCACAGGGAGACCAGGTTACTATATTGAGGGTCTATTTAAAAACAACAACAAAAAACACACAATTAATAATAATTCTATATAATTTAGTACTAAATATTCATTTCATTACCAAATTCAAATAAAATTTTTATCTCTATTCTATATTATTTCTAGTTATATTTGATACATAAATGATGAGACAAAGGTTACTGATTTTTCAATTTTCATTTTAAATAGTAAAAATCTAAAAAATATTATTATTCTGGAAAGAGACAATATTAGGCATGCTCTTAGAATTCACCACCAAGATGAAGATAACTGGTAAGTGAACCTTAGAGTAAGCTACTGATGCCTCACTATACCTCTCTTTCCTTAATTGGAAAATATGTGTGTTATGTTTGTGTACGTGTATGTGAGAGAAAAAAACAGGTGGAGAGAATAGATCAACAACCTTTCCTGTTTTAAAATTCTACCATCTATGATCATAAGTCTCAGCGAAACTTCTTTAACAAACAAATAAAAGGTGATTTATTGATAATTTTAGAATAACATGTTCTAACGTCATGCTAGGGTTAATTTGACTTCCTATACATTCAAAAATTTTCTTTTCCAGTCTCACAAAGGAGAAAGGTCAGACAGGCCCCTGTAAAACCTATTTAGTGTCCAATTATTGGTCAAATGAAGAAAGAAGGATGGGATAGGAGATGAACATATGCAAAATATTTGGGTTATTCTCCACTTACAATTACATATTCTCTATAGCCCACAAAAAGTATCACTTATGACATGTACCTGAGAGATGAAAGTATCTGAAAGATCAAATTGGTTACTCCAAGTTTCTCTTCTAAACAGTTTAACAGACTTTTCTACAGGAACTGCAAGTAACTAGTAGAAAAAATAAACAATTTAAACAAAAGATTACATTAAATTCTATTTGAAGAGAATTAAAAGCAGAAAATTCATGCAGATAAATTTACAAAACATAAAAGCAAATGTGGAGACCAGCGATTAGCGTAATGGCTATGTCACTGGACTCCCATGTAGCTGACAGCAGTTCAAGTCCCAGACCCACTGGCTTAAAACTCATGCCGGGCACATGTGCGTGTGTGTGTGTGCCCAAGATCCCGAGAAGAGAATGGAGGAGAAGGGACTGCAGTGTGGTCATCCCCCCTGGGGGGTGATTTCTCGCTTTCTGTCTCTCTGTCTCTCTCTGTCTGCCTGGCAAGCGCACAGATCCTATAGCAAAAACCTCTCCAAGAAAAAGGAAATGCGAATTTTAATTGCCAGCTAACAAAACTCAGAAAATTATTTAAAATTTTAATAAGCAAAAAAAATGGACTCTATTGCTGGCATGAGAAAACCTGTTGCTACTAGTATTTTAACACTACTTTTTATAAAATGTACGACCTTTGAATCTAAAAAGTAATCTCATTTACAAGAAGGAAACAGCCAGGATCCTTTCACTACTTCTTTTAGAAAAAGAAAAAAATTTGGAACCAGCAGTTAGCGTAATGGCTATGTGGTTGGACTCCCACATAGTTGACTGCGGTTCGTGTCCCAGACCTGGTGGCTTAAAACTCACGCCTGGCACGTGTGCATGCGTGCCCAAGATCCCGAGAGGAGAATGGAGGAGAAGGGACTGCAGCGTGGTCATCCCCCCTCGGGGTGATTACTCACTTTCTGTCTCTCTGTCTCTCTCTGTCTGTCTGGCCAGCGCACACGCCCTATAGCAAAAACCTCTCCAAAAAGAAAAAAAAAAATTATCTTCTTCTGCATTCTTCTAAACAGATTAGTAGAAAAATTAAAATTGTATTTGTGGGGCCAGCAGATGGCATAGCGGTTTTATCCCTGGACTCCCACATAGCCAACCATGGTATGAGTCCTGGACCTGGTGGCTTAAAGATCACAACGGGCGCGTGTGCGTGCCCAATATCCTAGGATGAGAATGGAATAGAAGGGATTGCAATATGGCCATCCCCCTCGAGGAGGGCAGGGGTGGTTTCTCACATTTCCTGTCTCTCTCTCTCTCTCTTTGGCTAGTGCATGCACCCTAATGCAGAAATCTCTTAAAAAAGAAAAACAACAACTGTGTATTCATTCCATGTTTATAAAAAATAAATGACTACTAACAGTAAAAGGTGCTAATTTTATTAATTTTTAAGTAAGATTAATTAATGTCTTTATAAAACACAAAACGTGTATTCTAGATTGCCCAGAACTATCACTTTAACACATAAGCTAGTCTTAAAAGTTGGTGTGATATGAAAAGGTATATATTGAGTTTCTTCTCATCCCTAAATCCTACTTCTACTCCTCAAGAGCAAATACAAGCATAGGCTATACCAAATGCATATGTACATAACTATATATATATCTATACTGACATGTACACACATTTTTTTTGGAGAGGTTTATGCTATAGGGTGCATGTGCTTGCCAGAAAGATAGAGAAAGAGAGACAGAAAGCGAGAAATTACCCCCGACACCAGGGGATGGCTAAGCTGCAATCCCTTCTCCTCAATTCTCCTCTTGGGATCTTGGGCATGCATGCATACCTGCCCGATGTGAGCTTAACCCACCAGGTCCGGGACTTGAACCGTGGTCAACTACGTGGGAGTCCAGCAACATAGCCATTACGCCAATCGCTGGTCCCCCTGTATACACTTTTTAAAAAATTGACAGGGGTGTGATTTCTCACCTTCTCTCTCGCTCTGGCAAGTGCATGCACCCTGTAGCAAATTTAAAAAAGAAATGAACAAAGAAAATTACTTACTTTTCCATTTTTTGGCTGCCAAGCAAGTCTGCAGATTGACTTTGCATTGATCACATCGTTGCATTTTTGTAGCAGTGGCCAACTGATAGCACATGTCTGATATTTTAAAAAAGAAAATAATTTTCCTTTAAGAAAATTCTTCCAATAAACACAATTAGTAGGTGTTTTTTGAAATTTATATATCTCTCAGAAAAGAGCAACGTACTGCATTTTACATGTAATAGCTAATTTACATTTACATAACTTGCTTCAAGTCTTTCGGAGTTAATACAGAGTACCAAACTTTTACATCATTAAATTAAATAAAGATATTTCCTGTATAAAATACAAAACCAATATATCCATTGACTAAAAGTACACACACAGAGCCAACAAGTTGCATGGTGGTTAAGAAGGCTGCATCCTACGTGGCTAACTGTACAGATTGAGTCTCAGACCTGGTGGCTTGAAAAATATGCGGGCACCTGTGTGTTGGTGGCCAAAATCTCAAAAGGAGGGATAAATGAAAAGAGGAGGGATTAGAAGCCAATTAGCAGCCATATACTCTGAGTTCCAAGTGGCCCCATTCAGGCATTAGAACCACTGAAGACTTCTGCCCAGACTTCATCCTCCTGCTCCCCAGATCTAGCCAGGAACCAGGATAAGCCATTCTAAGCAGCCCCATTCAAGCATTAGGATGAATGAATACCCTCTGCCCAGACTGTACTCTCCTGCCCCCCGGAGCTAGCCAGGAGCCAGAGATGACAAGTCACCTCTTCCTGCATTCCTCTGAATGCTCAGATTTAACTCTAAAAACCAGGAAAAAAAGTATAATCCATCAAATAACCAGAAACACCAGAGACACAAAAAATATGAGGAACCAAGAAAATATCCTCTAAGGGAAAAGAATAACTCCTCTTTCTCCACAGACAATTTAAGGGAATTCATAGAAATGTCAGATAAAGAATTTTAAATATTCATAGTGACAAAGCTAACAACTAAAAGAGAAGAGACACAGTGAACTCCAGAAAATGTAGGAGAAAAGAGATGAGTACCAGGAGGTGAGGAAATTCTTGCACAATCTTGTACATTAAAAAAAAAAAAAAAAGAATTGTTAAGAGATGAAGGCTCTAATAGAGGAAATCAAAACCTCCCTTGGAAATATCAAAAGCAGATTAGATCATACAGAAGACTGAGTCTCAGATGTAGAAGATAGAACTTCTGACCTAGAAAAATTCATCAAAAAGACTGAGAAAATAACACAAAAAAATGAGAATAACATATGAGTAATACTAGATACCATTAAATGTCCAAACATCCAGATCATTGGTATCTCAAAAGGTGAAGAAACTAATAAGGACATTGATAATCTACTCCATAAACTCCTGGAAGAAAACTTTCCAAACCTAGAGAGGCACTCAAATATCCAGAGCCAAGAAATACAAAGGGCCCCACATAGAATCAACCCAAGATCTTCCCCAAGGCACATCATAGCCAGATTGACCAAAACCACAGACAGAGACAAGATACTAAATTTGGCAAGAGAGAAATGTCAAGTTTCTTTCAAAGGATATCCCATACGGCTATCATCGGACCTCTCATCAGAAACAATGCAAGCAAGGGGATCAGCAATTAGCGTAATGGCTATGTCGCTGGACTCCCATGTAGTCAACCACAGTTCAAGTCCCGGACCTGGTGGCTTAAACTCACGCCGGGTGTGTGTGCGTGCGTGTCCAAGATCCCAAGAGGAGAATGGAGGAGAAGGGATGGTTGTGTGGCTATCCCCCGAGGGGTGATTTCTCACTTTTTGTCTCTGTCTCTCTCTGTCTTCCAGGTGAGCACATGCGCAAAAACCTCCCTCACCCCCAAAAAAGAAACAATGCAAGCAAGGAAAGAATGGGAAAATATGTTCGAAGTGTTAAGTGAAAAACAATTTCAACCAAAAATACTATACCCAGCAAGATTATCTTTGATATGGAAAAAAAGACAAAAATGATTTGAGATAAACAAAACCTGGAAGAATTTATCAACACCAGGCTAGCTCTCCAAGAACTGCTGAAGGGAATGCTATACCAGGAAAACTAAAGTCAGTCACACAGAAGTAAGAATACAAAAAACAACCAAGAGAATGGCCAGCCTAATAGAAGGGACAAGTTCAGAGTTGAATGTTAACTTCCAGAATTTAAATAGAAAGATCAGACCACAGTAACACTGCAAATTCAATAGGAAAGAGATTAATTACATGAGACTGAACTAGTGAAATAGAATATTTTTACTTTAGACTAAAACATTACTGATTTTCTTCGATGCATTGATATCCAGGTTTAAGGATTTTTGTCTTCTCTTGAACTGTTGATAGGCTCATCTTCCTACTATTTGAATTGAATCCTAACCTTTTTCCTGGCTTTAAGTTTTAAGCAAATTTCTCTTAACATTTTTTGATTTTGATCTATTAAAACTAAAACTGTTTTTCTTGAAATTAAAAAATGCCTTAAAAATTACCTATTAATGGGACCAGCAGTTAGTGTAATGGCTATGTCGCTGGACTCCCACGTAGTCAACCACGGTACGCGTCCCAGACCCAGTGGCTTAAACTCGTGCATGCGTGCCCAAGATCCCGAGAGGAGAATGGAGGAGAAGGGATTGCAGTATGGCCATCCCCCCTGGGGGGTGATTTCTCACTTTCTATCTCTCTGTCTCTCTCTGTCTGTCTGGTGAGCGCACGCGCCCTAAAGCAAAAACCTCTCCAAAAAAAAAAAAAGAAAGAAAGAAAAAAATTACCTATTAATACCTATTTAATGACAAGCTATACAGCCCCAGCTCGGTGCTACTTTATAGTATGTTTACTTTTCTCAGTGAGGTTTATGCCTAAAGTCAGACATGTATTCATAGATGTATATATATCAGTTATGCTTGCTATTGAAAGTTCTTAAATTAAGATCTTTAGTGAATCAATAAAATGTGAAAAAAAAAAAAAGGCATGGAAAACAACTGTAGATACCAGAGACAGTGTGGGAGGAAGGAAGAATTGGCAGAGTGAGGGGAAGGGAATCAAGGGGGAGGGAAGCAAAACATATAAGAAACAAGAAAGAGAAAATTATTTGTTCACAATACTGTGTATAGTAATATCCTTGGTTGAGTCAATATGCAATGTATTCTGCATGTAATCTCATTTTGTATACTGTATTGATGTATAGCGAATGAATATAAATAAATAAATTAACATTTTAAAAAAAGAGAGAAAGAAGGGAATGCAGTATAACCATTCCTCATGGGGAGGTGCTTTCTCACTATCTAGTTCTGTCTCAGGTGAGCGTCCACACACTCTGGCAAATTTTAAAAAATTAAAAAGTACATGCACCAAAAACAAACAAAAAAACCAGTATGTTACAATCTTAAAGGGTCCACAAAAATAAGTAAAAATAGAAAGGTCTACTCTAAAATATTAAGGTATGAAGTCACTCCTAAGTAATTACACAATGAGAAAAGGGAACTGAGGTTATTAAGGCAAATCTATGGGGGATATTTCATCAGTCACATTATCTCCAGAAATGCCAAGCCATCTTTGATTATCTTAGGAAGACTTAATTGTTTTGTCAATCCAGAAAATTCCTTCTTTATACCTCCTTTAAAACCTTTTCAGGTTGTGTTAGAGTAAGTTATACATGTAACTCTCCAAGGATGACCCAGACCCTATTTAATTATTTTGTATTCCCAACAACTAAAACAAGGTCTGGGTTAGCCATGCAGCACAGTGTATAGAAAGCCAAACCTATGATAGACCATAGTTTGAATTCTAGCCCTGGTAGCTCAAAAAAGATACAAAGTGTATGTGCATGCATGCAAAAGATCCTGATGAGAAGGAGGAATGAAGGAAAAAGGATTGTGGGGGAACCATGCCCCATGCTAGGGGGATTCTTTCCCTCTCTGGCAAGTGTGTGTACGCTCTGGCAATGTTTTTTAAAAAAAAGTAGAACTAATAGATCATTACATCGCTAGACTCCCACATAGTTAACCATGGCTCAGTCTCAGACCCAGTGGCTTAAAACTCTCACCAGCATGTGTGCACGTGTGCCCAAGATCCAGTGAGGAGAATGAAGAAGGGATTTGCCGTGCGGGGTGACCTTCCCCCGGAGGGCGACTTCTCACTTTCTGTCTCTCTCTGTCTCTCTGGTGAGCACATGTCTTTTATAGTAAAAATCTCAACAACAACAACAACAAAAAAGTAATAAATATGCAAACAAACATATAAGACCCAACACATGGTAGCTATCTTGTAAGTATCTAATGACTGAATTTTCTTAATTTATAAAACTTAAAAAATAAAATACAAGAGCAAGCAGGTGGCATGGTAGTTAAGGTGCTGGACTGTAACACGGCCAACCACAGTTAAAGTCCCAGACCTGGTGGCTTGACAATCACACAGGGGTTTATGTGTCTAAAATCCCAAAAAGAGAATGAAGAAGGGTCTTGGTATGGCTATCCCCTCTAGGGTGTGATTTCTTACTTTCCCTCTCACTATCTCTCTCTCCTCATTGAGCACACACTCCCTATGGCAAAAACCTTAAAAGAAAATAAAGAAAATGAATACAAATCTTATTTTTCTACTTATGATTGTATAAAAAAGCAATTAGTCTTTAATATACTTACTTTTGCATTAAATTATTATGGAATCTGATCACAAAAGCAATATTTAATGCTACTCAAAAAAAACGAACTATAAAGAGTAACAATTTTTAGTTTGTCTCAGTAATGTAATATGTAATATCCAATACATGAGAGAAATGGGCAGTAAGTTTTAAATCCAAAGTGGTAAGTTTACCTGATCTGAAATTTGCCATACTCTGACAGATCCATCACAACTGGCTGATGCCTGCAAGAATAAACAATACATTTCTCTATAGTTAAGAGACAAAATACTATAAGAAAATTGATTCCATTCACTAAATCAAATAGTCTTAACAACTGCTGAAATTTTCAGCTAATTCTCTTAAAATTTTAAATACACTCAGATGAAAACTCAAAGAGTAGGAAAATTAATTACCAGAAAGATGTCCTTAGGATCAAAGGAAAGACTTAAAACAGGGGCATCATGTCCTCGAAATGTTTTCTGCTGGCTATTATCCATGACATCCACAATTTTGACTAGAAAATCACTACAAATAATAAAAGTAATGTGTATGAAAACTGCCAATGCAAAAACTCTCCTAAAATCTATGACCCAAATATTTCAAAATCACAGGAGTAAATGCCGTCCTTATAGCAACTTGTAAAATTTGGCACCAAAATTTAATGACTTACCTTTTAGTTTTGCTTTATGAAGATGTTGGGAACAAAAGCCAAGATTTTCCATTATGTTAAAATGCAAATACTTCCTAAATGGCTTCTTTAGTTACATCTTAACTTTCTAATCTAATTATAGTCACAACCATCTTAAAAAACACTATGTCCTTCATTCTACCTCAGCAATTCAACTAATTATATTTTTTCCTATGACAAATAAGCATCAAAGGAAATAGGAAAAATCCTTATTATACAATCCAGGATCTACCTAAAATAACTTTTTTTAAGGTTTTTGTCATAAGCCACTTGTGCTCGCCAGAGAGAGAGAGAGAAGCAGAGAGAGGGGAAGTGAGAAATCATCTCCAAGGAGGATGGCCATGCCACAATCCCTTCTTTTCCATTCTCTTCCTGGGATTTTGAGCATGGAGGCACATGCACCCGGTGTGTTTCAAGTCACCAGGTCCAGGACTCAAACTGTGATCAGCCATGTGGGAGTCCAGTGCCTCAACCACCACATCACTTGCTGGCTCCAACTTTTAAAATTTTGTATGAAGCTATCACCTTTCCCCAATCTTTTCAACATTGACCAAATAAGCCATCAGCAAAGCAATATATCTCAACTCACAAATTACAAGTTGTTCTCAAAAACCTTTACTAAATAAAATGCTTGAATATAAAAATGAAGTGACAAAGTCCTAAAAATATTACCCTGAAACAAATGAATGAGATCTCTTTGCTCCTTTTCTGATGTCAAAGAGTTTTACCTAGATCCAGCAGCAATTTTAGTGCCATCTCCATTAAAGACCACATGGTTTGCATTTGTAGTGAAGCGAGTCAATATACCATCTGGAACTCCTTCAGGAAATGTGTGGACTTGAACAGTATTGTTAGAAACTGCAGTGACCAATTTTCCATTCTAAAAGAAAAATAAATATAAGAAACATTAACAGAACAAAATCCAAATCAACTGGCTGTCTCTCCAGTTAAAAATCCTATATTAGGCCAGCAGGTGGTGTGGTAAAGGTGCTGGACTCTCACATAGTAGATTACAGTTTGAGTATCAGATCTGGTGGCTTCCTTTCTTACTCTCTTTTTTTTTCTCTCTCTCTGACGAGAACATGTACGCTATAGCAAATTAAAATTATAATAACAATGATCATAAATAAAAATTAAATAATTCTTTTAAAAAATCCTACATAAGGCAGAGCCTAGTGGTATAGTGGGTTTTCTGATGATGGATGCCACATGATATCACTTATACTTCCCCAACTGTATATGATATTTCTTACTTTTCCAAGTCCTCACTATAACTGAGCTTAGCAATATTTCATACTTGTCAATCTTATTTAAAAAACACCCAATTGCTTAATTTGTACTTCTTGGATTATTAGTGAAATTTAACTTATAGTTAATGTTTGGTAACTTACATTTTTTTCTTATGGGAAAGTATCTGATATTATACACAACCATTTTAAAAATATCTGAAGTGTCTAAAGACTATCTTACCTACTTTTTAAAAAATTATTTTATTTAACTTTATTTAATTACTTTAATTTGACCAGTGAGGGACAGAGTGAGAGAGAGAGAGAGGGAAAGTGAGAAAGCAAGCCACAGCTCTGGGATTGGAACCGCAGTCGGCTATGTGGGAGTCCAGGGCTCTTAGCCACCACACCACCTGCCGGCCCCCTATCTTACCTACTTTAATGAACTTGAATTTGAAAAAATACGGGGCTGGCAGGTGGCATGGTGCCTAAGGGCACTGAACTCCCACATGGCTGACTGTGGTTCAAGTCCCGGACCTGGTGGCTTGCTTTCTCACATTCCCTCTCACTATCTCTCTCACTTCGTCCCTCTCTTGTCAAATTAAAATAAATAAATAAATAGATAAATATAGTTAAATAAAATAATTATTTAAAAATATATATATGAGTTCTATGTTAAGGGTTTATTTTTCTTACCCATGTACACTCAAGTTAAAGTTCATCACAAATAAAAAGCTTACTGGTTTTTAGATAATTTCTAAAGAATTTGTGAAACATGCCTTCACTCCCCAAGTACCTATATCTCATTCCCACATTTAGCTCATATGTAACATTAGAAACATGTGAAACATGTATATATGTTGAAAGCGTTAATGAAACATTCCTCCTCTGTAGAACAACTTAAACTATCTGAATTAGTGACTGTCTTGGTCCATTTTGTGCTACTATAATAGAATACCACAGATTGGATAATTTGTAATAAATGAAGACTGAAAGGCTGACAATTGTGAACCTGGGAAATTCAAGATCAAGGAGTTGGCATCTGGTGAGACTCTTCTTCCTTTGTCATCTCATGGAAGAACAGCAAAGATGGGGGGGAGAGAATATGAGACCTGAACTTGAACTCACCCTTTTAAAACAAACTCACAGGGCCAGCAGGTGGCACGGTGGTTAAGGGCACTGAACTCCCACAAGGCCAACCGCAGTTCAAGTCCTGGACCTGACGGCTTGCTTTCTCACTTTTTCTCTCACTCTCTCTCTGTCCCTCTTTGGTCAAATTAAAATAAATAAAAAGTTAATTAAATAATTCTTCAAAAAATAAAATAAAACAAATTAGCTCCCAAAATAACAGCAAGAATCCATTAATAAGAGCAGAGCCTTCATGGCCTAATCATGTCTCACTAGGTCTAACCTCCTAATACTGTTGTCAACCTCTTAACACGTGTTTTTAGGAAACAGTCAAACCAAAGCCAAATAAAGCACCACTGAGTTCTTTTTTTTAACATTTTTTTCTTTATAGCCTAGACAGTTTTTTGGGGGTTTTTTGTTTGTTTGTTTGTTTATTTTAGAATTATTTTATTTACTTATTTGAATTTGATCAGAGGGGGAGAGAGAGAGAAAGTGAGAAAGCAAACCACCAGGTCTGGGACCAAAACCGTGGTTGGCCATGTGGGAATCTAGCACCCTTAACCACCACACCACCTGCCATGCACCACTGAGTTCTTTAAAGATAAGTATAGCTCGTTGACCTAGAAGGAAACTAAGGCCAAGTGTATAGATTGGGGCTACTCTTTCAGTTTAGATCCAAGAATGAAGACAACACTGAACCTAGCTGTAGCTTATCCTGAAGAACATGTGGATGACATTACTACAATAGCCAAGATATGGAGACAAATGAAGTGCACATTGAGAGATGCAATGGAATACTACTTAGCCTTAAAATGAAGAAGATTCTGCCATTTGCAACAACATGAATGCATCTGGAGGACATTATGCTAAGTCAAATACGCCTCACAGGAAATGACAAATACTGCGTGGTCTCACAGAATCCAAAAAAATTGAACTCATAGAAGTAGAGAGCAGAATGGTGATTGCCAGAAGCTGAGGGAAGGAAGGTGGGTGGTTGAGAAAATGGGAGATGTTGGTCAGTGAGTATAAACTTTTAGTTAGACAAGAGGAGTAAGTGCTGATGATCTATTAAACAGCATGATCACTATAGTTAATAATAATTCATGGAATATTTCAGAATTGCTAAAAAGAGTGAATTCTAAATGTCCTCACCAGAAAAGAAATGGTAAATGTAAAGTGATGGATATCATTTTCTTAAATATGTTTTAACTAGCTCACTATTAATATCTATTAATGTAACCCTGTAATAAACCATTCCAATTTTTACTTTAAAATTATGAGGCAAGTTATGTCATTTTTACATATTTTTAATATTAGTTTATAAGCAAAAAAAGGTACTTCTATATTCAAAACTTCTATAGAAAAAAACATTTTTCACTCAAGCATAAAAACCTATCATTTCACATCAGATGATGTAATTATTCTTGCTACCTTCAAAGCACATGAGAACGCCTTTTCTCCAACATTAATGGACTTAGGGTCATCATCATCCAAGTCTTCCCAAATCCTCACATCACCATCACTTCCACAAGTCACAATACAACTGCAAAGGAAACACATGCATTAAAAAGTCACCCAGTTTCAGGTATATTTTTGGAATGCAACCTTTATTATTTATAATTTTTTCATGAAATCAAGGTAAGAAGCCAATATTTTTTTCATTTTATACTCATTAACTCAATAACAAAGACTGCTAACTTCCTAGTCTATAAAATAAAGTGAGTTTTATTTCTCTACTGTTCTTCTTTGGCATAAAGTCACTTACTGCAATAATGTAAGAAAAATTAATGTGTTATCTCTCCAAGAGCAGGGCCCATGTCTGCCTTGCTCACCACTGTTTTCTCAGCACCAAGCAGTCTCTTGACAACTTAATAAATGTTTGTTGAATGAAGAAATGGATGGCCACATGAGCTATTCAAATGGCTAACTGTATCTGTCAAAATTCATTTTAAACCTCTCATGTCCTGAGTGCTTTTATTCTTTTATCCATCCAGTATGTGTCCTAACTAGTTATATACAAAGAAGAAAATAAAGTACAAAAATTGTACATAGTAAGTGGCAAAAAAGAAGCTATATAAAGAACTCTGGATGTCCAGGGGAAAAAAATTGATTTCCACCTGGGAAAATCAGGATTTATAAGAGGAAGTCAAGGGAGGTCAAAGAATAAACAGGACTAGATATGCTCAGACTGGTGATAGGGACAGTTCCAAATGGAGGAAACCACATGAGCTAAAATATGAAGTTAGTAAAGCAAGGGGAGTTTACCAAGAAATAAGAAGGTAAATGAAACCTGAGGTTAAGCTGTTCAGGATCACTTCAATGTCAGAGTAAGGAGTTTGGACTCCAATGGGAATTAGATAGAAGGACCACAGGTTTCAGTTTGCCTGGGATACTCTTAGATTATGCATCCAGTTGGTTTGGCATTGTCCTTGATTTTTTATTTTAAAATACATTAATATCTGTTTCATCAAAACCGAGTAAGTAGTTTTGGCAGACCTCCTTGTTGTACTTCCAGCTCTGCCATGGTCTTGCTTACTAACTGTAACATATATGCACTATATCTCATTTTAATACATGGTTGAATATGAAAAACAACCAGTCATAACCCACCACCCCTTTTCTTTTTTTCCCTTCACTCATGATAGAGCATGTGCACACATGCAAAGAGAAGTAAGATAAGCATCTTCCAAAGAATGTTGTCACACCATGATCCCCCTTCCTCCAGTTCTCCAGCCCTCTGGATTGTGCACACTTGAACACATGTCCAGCATGCTTCAGGCTGACTGGGTGGGGGATTAGAACTGAGGCTGCTCTGTGAGATCCAGCTTATCAAATACTTTCAAGGACAAAGTGAAGCATTCACTAATAAAAATCAAAACAAATTCAGACTTCTTTCAGTCTCCAGCATTGCAGGGAGAAGTATATCATGTTGCTGTTCCTATGGTGTATCAGCAGGTGCACCAAGGAAAATGTGCAAAGTTGTAGGTGCCAGCTAGTGGAAACAATGGGAAATTATAGTGAAATATCATGGGATTAGTGAAAAATAAAGGCAGGAAATAGTTAGGCAGGCCTACAAAGAGTTTTTTTTTAAAAAATAATTATTTATTTAATTTTATTTATTTCTTCATTTATTTTCATTTGACCAGAGAGAGACAGAGAGAGAGAAAAAAAAAATAAAAAGGAGAGAAAAACTAAGCGAGCCACCAGGTCCAGGACTCTAACTGTGGTAGGCATGTGGGAATGTCCAGTGCCTTAACCAACATGCCACCTGCTGGTCCCCTGTAAAGAGCTTTAAGTACAGTCTCAATGCTTTCTACAGAGGTCTTATCAAGTATTGTCTTAATAACTATGTTTAAATTGTATTGTTTGGCTATGCTTTTCCAATTTTGCAAAACAAAAACTAAAAAATATAACCTCATCGGAAATAATAAACTAAAACAAATCAAATGATGATTAATAAAAAGTAAATAATAAACATCTGTTTCTCAGGAAAGTTGAAAAGAAAATATTGGATTGTCAGAAAAGTAATAATGCATTTTTACATAGGAAAACATGACTTTTCTGACAAGCTAATATAATACAAACAAAATGTTAGTTCACATTTACCATAGGAGTGTAGTGAAAACACCAACCCCAAAAATCCAGAAGACAAAACTCCTGATGAAGCATCAGTATCTACTTAAAATGTCAGCAGTTATCTTGAGAAGACTGCCTAAAATCTGTGCTACAAGTGCAGAGGGTGAGTGTATATTTTTTCAAGCATGACTCTTTTTTTTAAAATAATTGTTTATTTTTAATTTTACTTATTCATTTACTTATTTTATTTTGACCAGAGAGAGACACAGAGAGAGAGAAAGTGAGAAAGCAAGCAACCAGGTCCAGCACTTGAACCATGGTCAGCCATGTGGGAATGTCCAGCACCTTAACCACCACGCAACCTGCTACTCCCCCAAGCATGACTCTTAATAAGGTGATGGTCATATGACCATCTATATCTAGTACAAGCAATTGAAATGGGTTAATGTGACTGAGAAATTGAATTCTTTTTAAGAGAAATTTATTGCTATAGGGTGCATGCACTCACTGGAGAGAGAGAGATAGAGAGACAGAAAGCAAGAAATCACCCCCCTCCCCCCGGTGGGATAGCTATGCCATAATCCCTTCTCCTCCATTCTCCTCTTGGGATTTTGGGCATGCATGCACATGTGATCGATGTGAGTTTTAAGCGATCCGGTCTGGGACTCAAATTGCAATCAAATACATGGGAGTCCAGCAATGTAACCATTATACCATCTGCTGGTCCCAAGAAATTGAATTTTTAATTTAGCTAATTTTAATTTAAATCTAAATAGTTTCATGCGGCTAGAAGTTATTGGACAGTGCAGCATTAAAACAAATGTCGGGGGAACCAGAAGTTGGCGTAATGGCTGTGTCGCTGGACTCCCACGTAGCCGACTGCGGTTCGCGTCCTGAACCCGGTGGCTTAAAACTCACGCCGGGCGTGTGTGCATGCGTGCCCAGGATCCCGAGAGGAGAATGGAGAAGGGATTGCAGCATGACCATCCCCCCTGGGGGGTGATTTCTCGCTTTCTGTCTCTATGTCTCTCTCTGTCTGGCGAGCGCACGTGCCCTATAGCAAAAAAAACCTCTCCAAAAAAAAAAAAAAACAAAAACAAAACAAATGTCGGGGCCAACAGGAGGCATGGCACTTAAGGTGCTGAACTACCACATGGCAGACCATGCTTCAAGTCCCAAACCTGGTGACTTGCTTTCTCACTCTCTCTGGTGAGTGCACATGTCCTATAGCAAATTTAAAAAATAATACTAATAAGTAAAGGAAAAACATGTCAGTTGTTCTAATCAAATTTTGCTCATTTTCTATTCCAAATTTTCTACTATACATATGAAGTAAAATGACTATTAATATGTTGTTTCCACTGGCAAAATAAATTTTTCGAACAATTAAATGACACTGGCTTCATATCAATATCATCAGAGGTTTAAAACAAAAAAATCAGTCAGATTAACTGCAATAAAGATTTTGTTCTCATGCCAGTTCATGGAAATAAAGTAAACCTTCTGAAAGTTTATTCTGTTGAAAGTGAAACATCTAATGTTATTAGAAATTCTATTTAAACTCATTTGAAAAGTTTGAGGCTAAAGATAACATTCTTCATTAATTTTTTTTTTTTTTTTGGCTACAGGATGCGTGTACTCATCCGAGAAACAAAGAGAGAGGGTGTAGGGTGGGGAAAAGGTGAGAATGCACTCTTCATAGGGTTTGGTCACTATAATTCCTTCTCTTCTATTTCTCTCTCCTTTGGGATTTTGGGCACAGAGACATTTGCGTCCAGTGAGTTTCTCAAGCATGGGGTCTAATACTTGAACCACAAGGTCAGCCACACCACGGGCTGTCCTAAAATTCTTCATTTTAACAATAATCCTTTGTCCTTAGTATATTGAGAAATCTGTAAGAGCTGGCCTTAGAGCCTAGAGGTTAAAGGAGGCAGATCCTAAATGGTCAGCTGTGGTTCAAGTCCTGGCTCCAGCAGCTTGAAAAATACACCTGGCTCACATATGCACATGCTCAAACTCCTAACAGGATGGAGAGATGGAGAATGGAATGTGGTGTGACACCGTCCACTGGAAAGTAGTCCCTCTCTCTGGTAATTAAAGAGAGAAATATAAAACACACAAATACTTGAACTTGGAATAATTCATTACTGTGTGCAAATGAGCAGTAGTAATGTACCAGTTAAAAAGGAAAACATCTTTGTCAAATTTTCAGATAATTTTATTTATATCCAGAGTAGCTAAGTATGATTTTTGTAACAGACTGATTTTAAATACACAAGACTATTACTATTATAGGCACTGTTTTTTCTCTCTGGCCATCACTAATTAGATTTTTAAAATATTTGAGCCTTTAGGGACCAGCAGTTAGCGTAATGGCTATGTCGCTGGACTCCCACGTAGTCGACCGCGGTTTGCGTCCTGGACCCGGTGGCTTAAAACTCACGCCGGACGCGTGTGCGTGCATGCCCAAGATCCCGAGAGGAGGATGGAGGAGAAGGGATTGCGGCGTGGCCATCCCCCCTGGGGGGTGATTTCTTGCTTTCTGTCTCTCTGTCTCTCTCTGTCTGTCTGGCGAGCGCATGTGCCCTATGGCAAAAACCTCTCCAAAAAAAAAATTGAGCCTTTAAAGAGCAAGTATCCTATAAAAATGACATTATTATCAGAAACAAGTCCTCTAAATTAGTTGGATAAAGTCCCAAACAGTGAGAAATCTTAAATCAAAGCATTCAACTTGAGCCTTTGAAGCTTTTAGTGAAATCCAATTAATGAAAGCAAAGCTCATGCACAGGAAGACACTGAAATCTATCCCTATGAAAGCGAGCAAGAATGGAGCAAATTGCACATGAAAAGCTGAAATGGTCAATGATTTAATTTCGAAATCCTGTAACTGCTCTTTGGAATATCTTGATTTGTGGGAAGAATCTTTGGATGGAACTCTAATTTTTCTTTTAAGAGAGATTTTTGCTA